CGCTAAGGGAAAATGGAGAGAAATCCTGCCCGAAGTCCTTTGGGCATACCGAACAACATCAAAATCTAGTACAGGGGCGACCCCATTCTCCTTAGTATATGGATCCGAGGCATTGATACCAGTCGAAGTCGGAGAGCCTAGTCCCATATTTCGATTCATGACGGAAGAATCAAATAACGAGGCTATGAACACCAGCCTTGAATTATCGGACGAAGGACGAGAAGCTGCCCTCATTCGATTGGCCGCACAAAAGCAAGGAATCAAAAGGTATTACAATCGAAGAACTAAACTTCGCCACTTCAAGCCAGGGGACTTGGTGTTAAGGAAAGTCACCATCAATACTCGGAATCCAAACGAAGGAAAACTAGGACCAAATTGGGAAGGACCGTACCAGGTGCTCGAGAACTTTGGGAAAGGATCGTACATGCTCGGCATCATAAACGGCAAACAGCTATCAAGCAGTTGGAATGTATCACATCTAAAACGGTACTACTGCTAAGGTCCGACCTTTTCAATATTTATTCAACTGTCCCGTACAGAAGTTCGAACAAAGAATAGAAGTATTCTTTTACTCAAAAGCACGTGTTGCACTCTTTTTTCCTTAGACCGGTTTTTTTCCAAATGGGTTTTTGTGGCAAGGTTTTTAATGAGGTAACAATCGATCGTGCTGCGCTTTTAAAAAACAGTATCCGAGGCTTTCGACCCTTAGCCCGAACGGCCTCGAATACCGGGGGGGAACCAAGCCCTCAAATACATCGAGTTCAGATGCAACAAAGTCTTCTCACAATAATAGAGGAAAAATTATAAGAGCCAAAATGGTCAAAATGAACCATGCTCATATAGATTGTCCCAAAGCATATGTACAATGACTTGAGAATTACTATGCAACCAGAATTAACAATCGCTCGAATATTAAGCCTACGGGCTACCACATTATCTGGAGTTCAAAATAAACACTCGAATATTAAGCCTATGGGCTACTTCTATATCAAGTTCGAAATACTCAGTCGACCGTTGAGCCTACGGGCTACTTCAACATCGAGTTCGAAATAATCACTCGAATATTAAGCCTACGGGCTACCACATTATCTCGAGTTCGAAATAAACACTCAAATATTAAGCCCACGGGCTACTTCTATATCGAGTTCGAAATAAACACTCAAATGTTAAAGCCTACGGGCTGCCGAGTTCGAACAAGGAACCAATCGAGTTTGAAACATTGAAAAAGCTACGTTTACTCAGGGTTTACGTTAACCACCACATTATCATCAACTCAACAAGCAAAACGTCACTCCAAATCTGATCGATCAAAATCGACCTTGTTATATATATACAAAATTGCCTACGTAATTAATTTACAGATATAGAGAATTAGACTCTAAGCTTCCGGGTCGGGGTCTTCCCTACCCTCGGACCCGCTTTTGCTACCATCATCATTATCATCGTCATCATCATCAGAAGCCAAGGCTTCAGCTTCCGCTTCAAGCTCTTTTGCCTTTCTTACCTCTTCGGTAAGGTCGAAACCTCGAGCATGTATCTCCTCGAGGGTCTCCCTCCGAGATCTACACTTAACAAGTTCGGCAACCCAATGAGCTCGAGCATCGGCAATCTTCGCCGCTTCCCGAGCCTCCACCTGAGCGGCCTCAGCATTAGCTCGATATACAGCAATAGACTTATTTGCCAAAACTTTCGACGACTCAACCTCCGCCTTAGCCTCAGCAAGTTGTATCTCAAGCTCATCGATTTTCTTAGCCTGAACCGACACCTTTTGCTTGACGTTTCGAAGCTGAACGTCGGCTGATAATAACTTTGTTAAGATGGTTTCTTTCTCCACTGCCAGGCGGTCAATAGTCTCCTTCCACTGGTTGCATTCGGCCCGGATTTGATCGACCTCCTCTCGAAGTAGCCCGATCTTCTCGATCTTTTGCTGCAACTGAGACAACGAAGGGTTAACTTCCACAGTCGAGTCGAATCCATACTTTAACAGAACGAGGCTCACCTGCTGATCGAGCTCGACCCTTTCTTCACGAACCTTAGCCAAATCCGCTTGAAGATCCTTTATAGCCTCCTCCTTTTTGCTACAAAGAAGCCGAAGGTCATCTCTTTCACCTAGGACCTTCCGGAGTTCGGCCTCACACTGGCTAAGATCAACTCGAAACCTACCGATGGCCTGCATAGTTAGAAACTGTCATCAACACCAATAAAACAAAGAAGGATCACCGATATCGGAACCGTCAAGTATGGAAAAGAACCAAGAAGCCAAGTATGGAAGAATCATTACCCGAGTAATAAAATGCTGAGCTTCCTCTAACAAAATATAAGCATCACCGATATCGGAACTGTCATCAACACCAGTAAAACAATCCTTAAAAGGATCCGCTACACCTGAGCCAGCACCAATATCGGGAGTCTTCAGCTCTCGAGCCTCCTTCAACGCCTCCTCAGAAAAAGACGAAAGAGAAGGTGAATGACTCATTGCCATTGCCCCGAGCAAATCACTCGGAGTACTCCGATCGAGACTTAGGTCTTCGGAACCAACCCCGATGGGCACGGCCGCCATCGGCTCAGCAGCTCTAGCAACCTCGATTGCCTCCGTAGGTCGGACTACCAAAGCCGAGGAGCTATTTTCTTCTTCTCCTTCCTCTCTCAGTCATTGGACCGAGTCGATCGAAAGGGCAATGATTTTTCTCCTCACCTTTCGAGTTTTGGGCTTAGGGTCCTCCGGCCGAGAGGAAGCCCTACGTTTCTTTTTTTTTCCCTGTTCCAGGACCGGGGACTTGTTTCCTTCATCACCGCTCAAAGGCCTCAAAACGGTATCCCTAGTTACACCTATATACAAAGGAAAAATCGATAATGAAATGAACGCAGAATATACCTCGAGGGAAACAGGAACCAAACCTCACCATGATTCTTGGCCTCCCATCTACCTTTAGCCAAATCACGTCAAGCGCGCTCGGCATAGGATGAAGTCGAGGCTAACTTTCGAACCCAATCCTCGAGATCAGGCACAGCTTGTGGCATCCAAGGTGCAGCTGGACATCAGAAAATAATATTAACAAAAACGGAAAAAGACACGAAAAGCAAACATGAATCACTTACGGTCGAAATTCCATTTTTCAGGAAACGACATCTTTTCCTCCGGGATAAGATCATGAGTCCTCACTCGAATATATCGACCCATCCAACCTCGATCCTTATCTTCATCGATGCTCGACATCAAAGCCTTCGACGCTCGACGATGTAGCCTAATTAGTCCATGATAAATCTGAGGTCGATACAGTCGTATAAGGTGGTTCAGAGAAAAATCTAACCCTCCGGCTTTGATAGAGAAGAAACGCAATAAGATGACTATATGCCATAAGGAAGGATGAATTTGGCCGAGAGTGGCCTGATATCTCCTGTAGAAATCAAAGATCACGGGATCGACAGTTTCCAACGTAAAGGGATAGGTGTAAACACTTAAAAATCCCTCCACATAGGTAGTGACGCTCTCATCGGAGGATGGGATTTGTAACACAACCTCAGAACCCCAGCCGCAGTCTTTTCTGACGGCCTCGAGGTGAACCTCCGCTATAGAGCACGTATACATCGATACGTGCTCACACGGACCCGGAACGGACGAAGGGTTCTCCACCCTAAAATCAGTTTTTAAAATACACGGGCCAGGAATATAATCTTGAACGGACGGCTCCGTCGGCGCCGTATCGTCACACAGACGTGAGGAGGAAGCTTTCTCCTTGTGAGGTACGATTTTTGAAGTTTTCACCATCAATATGAGAAGAAAAAGTCGCAAAGGAAGGTGAAAGAGGGGACAACACCAAAACTCTGGTACAAGCGGCACTAAAGCAACGAATTGGAGAAAATAATCAAAGGGAATTTGGGAAAAGAGGAAGCACAAAAGTGGAAAACATTATATGGGAAAACTATTTATAAGGCATGGCGATTCGTTTCTAGCGGTGGCCGACCACCGACTGACACACATTAAATGCCTCAATAAAACAAAATTGATGGGACAGCTATCACGCACGTCATAGTCAAAGTCGATAGAAATGCCATCATTGGTTCGGTCGAACCTTAGGGAAATCACATCGTTTCTCGTCATCTCCTTTCCAAGAAATGAGGGGGCTATCTGTATACGGTTAAAACCGATCCTCGATCATAAAGATCGATCGAGGATAGCATCTCAGTCAAGGGGTATCTTCATGAAGAACCCGAGCGAATTCTGAGATGGGGGCGTCAAGCTCGGGGCGTCCGAATCGACCGAGGTAACATCGACCAATACAGGTCCCGAACATCGATGCCCGAAAGTGATCACCAAGCTCGAAACCAAGGCCGAGGTTCCGATCCGACACCGAGCTCGAGTCGGTATCGAGCTCACAGACAAAAAGCTATTACAACCGCACCAAAGGAGAGAATCTTGGCGGGAATTAAGGAGGGGACACACCATCATGGGTCCTCCACAAGTAATATTATTCCATTATGTTGCTATAGATAAAGTAGTGATCCTTGGCTATAAAAGGCAAGATAGATTATAATAGAAGACATCTTCCATGGGATTAAGGATTGATTGTGTTTATCTTTCTAAAGCTCACTAAGTATCTTTGTTCATCATTTTCTATTTTGCGTCACAAATACGTGTATTGTTATCTTCAGATCAAAGGAATCTACTTACCCTTAGAACCATATAAATTCAACGTTATCCGATTTTTCGGGTAAACAGATGGTGATCTTAATCAAGTTGTCTTGATCGAGCAGCTGTGGTGGTTGATGTTGATGACATAAATGGGTCGTCGAACAAGCCAAACCTGTGGAGGGTAGCTACTGTGCATAGGGTTGAAGAGCTCAAGTGCATCTTTAGAATGTTGCCAGTTTGGGGTGCGGGAATACTGCTAATCACTTCACATTCACATCTGGGAAGCTTTACAATCCAACAAGCTCGCAGCATGGATCGTCATATATCCCACAACTTTCAAATACCTCCAGCCAGCCTATCAATCTTTACTGTCTTAACTGTGCTCATGGGTCTTCCTCTATATGAGCGCATCTTTTTACCATTTGCTCGTCGCTTCACAGGAAATCCAGCAGGAATAACTTGCTTACAAAGAATGGGCATAGGATTTGCAATTAACATCGTTGCCACTATAGCTTCAGCATTGGTTGAGATCAAACGTAAAGCTGTTGCTGCACAACATGGCCTAATTGACCAACCTACTACTGTTATACCTATTAGTGTATTTTGGTTGGTTCCACAGTATTGCCTCCATGGAGCTGCAGAAGTTTTCATGGCAGTTGGGCACCTTGAATTCCTCATTGATCAATCTCCAGAGAGCATGAGAAGCACTGCGGCTGCACTCAACTCGTTAACAACATCTTTCGGAAATTATTTAGGCACTCTCATGGTATCTTTAGTTCACAATTATACCGGTAACGACCGCAACTGGCTACCTGACCGGAATCTCAACAAGGGAAAATTGGATTATTATTACTGGCTTGTGACTGGAGTACAGGTTTTAGATCTCATATATTACATGATATGTGTCTGGTTTTATTAGTATAAACCTTTGGAGGAGCTGACTGAAAGTAGCAAGGAAACTGACGTGGAGTTAGCTAACAACAAAAATTCTTCAAGCGCAGCAAATTAACTGGTTCTAAAGGTGATAGAGGAGTAGAACAATAACAAAAAGGGGAAATGTTAGACCGTGAACAAGAAAACAAGAAAATGGAGTAGTGATTTATTATTAAGTGTACCAGCTAGAACATCACTTAACTTCCGCCTACTTGTTCACACCTGTTGTGTAAATTGATGTATATGCTTATAATAAGTAATACTCCATGTGTTACAATTTAAATGGTACACTTCCCTTATTAGTCCGTATAAAAAAGAATGACATATTTTTATATTTGGAAACAATTTAACTTTAAACTTTTCGTTTTACTCACTTTACCCTTAATGAAAAGTTTTTATAGGCACAAAAATGTCATGACTCCACAAAACTTTTGATCCTTAAGTTTTTAAGACCGCATATTGTAAAAGTCCTTTTTTTTCTTCTTAAACTTTGTGTCAAGTCAAACTACATCATCTAAATCGAAACATAGAGAAAAATACTTACCGTATGGTTTATCGTTCTTCCTATTCCCATATTTTTCTTTTCTTCTCCCAGTTGTTATGCTAGATCCCAGCCAAGTTTGGTTTGATTTTAATAAGTGGACTCGGTCTTGTTGGAATATAAGCTAGGTTCTCGATAACATATCACATGGTACAAAAGAGGATGCACGAAAGAAGAAGATAAACATAAAGCACACTTGATACAAAACAATATTCAGAAGGGGGAGAGGGGTATATAGGTAGATGCTAGAAACTAGGTACAACGCTAGTTTGGACTGCTGGACCTTTTCTTTTGGGTGGGAGGGGGCAGGGAGAGGGGCTAATTTGGCTCCCAACAATAGGTGGGGATCTGGCTGGTTATGGGAAAAAATAGCCCGTTCAATTAGTGGGTGTTGCACATTTTGCACAAGTCAAAACAATGTACAACTTATAGTACTGTACAAAGTTAATTGAAGTTAGAGTCGCCACCTAATAATTAAGGTATACTAGGACACCTATACTATACTATGTAATATACACTTTAATTATGGACTGCAAAACCAGTTGAGATTCCAGATAAGGGTTCAATTTATCCCAAAGGGAAGGTGTTAGGCATCCCTCGAGATCCACAAAATGTGATTCCGGTGGACTCAATCAAATAAATGAGGATTAGGTGATGAATAATTAATTTGATACATATACCAAGAGTGTGGAAGCAATTCAAAGAAGGGTGGTCGAAAGACTGTAATTTATCGATCGATCATCATTTTTTTATATGACTGTGGTTGCTACCAACAATTAGTATTGTGCATAAGAATTTTTACCATATACTTTCCAGCAAACTGAGATTAGCTTATGGGTAATTCCTATAGTTTCGAGTTGTACCTTGTGCATACCTAAGTTTGACAAGATTTGTTCATCTTGCTTCAATCAATAGTTTTTGAATTCTGCCTATGCTCATGTTTTAAGTGCCTCACTACAAAGAAAGTCCTAATTTTCGCAGATATTTGAAGTATTTTTATTTTATTTTAGGATATTTTTGCGAAGCACACTCACACTCAGAATGACATTCAATGCATGCGACTGATACCATATGTTTGACCGTTATGTAAGTATCCACTAATGTGAGAATACTTGGAATAAGATCATGTAGGAATTTGTTATTAGCTTGTAATGTAGGCTTGGGGACAGGTAGGGTATTCATTTTGAGGTAAAGTCACTAATCCCACCTTGAGCATTGCACTGTATCAGTGTCTTCGGTGTTCAAACCATGCTTCAGCGCTTGATCTTGTTTGGCTCGATGTCCCTTTCTTTGTTTTGACTTCCTTTGGGCTTGTTGGAGGTTCTTCTTCCGTTTTCAGAGATATTTTTTTTTTGAAGTTACTTCTGCTTTGCAGGAGTTTTTCCTTCTTTTTGTTGGAGTTACTCCTCTTTGATTGTGGAGTCCTTTTTGTTGGATTTTCTCTTGAATTTGTGGAAGTTTTCTCCTTCTTGTTGGATCCTCCTTTTGAATTTGCAGAGTTTCCTTTTCTTTTCTTGATGTCATGTCTCTTATTGTCTTGGACTTTGCATCTTTCGCCTTTTTATACTTGTCGCCTTCACTTTGGTCTTCGTCCGAAGTTACACGTTTTCTGTGAGTGCAAAGGAGGTTGGGCCAAGAGAGGGGTAGTTCATTTAGCACAAGAAATGGTATGAGCTAATATGTAGTTGTTCAAGAAAAAAGTTTACGGCTCAAAGGGAGAATGCTAGGTATTAATATCATTTGGTAGCTGAAAAGGCTCAAACGAGCCAAAGAAGGCCTACGATCCTTTCCTAAACCAAGTGTTACTCAGAATTTTGCCTCAACAGACATTGGGGCCAAGTTCAAGATCTACAATGCAATACAATAAATTTTAATCTAGGTTCACCACACAATGCACATAAAAGGATGGGGTCGGATTTGTTCTTACCCTAACTGTAAGCATGAGATTTTTTCAAGCGTCACTAGGCATAATTAAGAGGTACCATAAGAATATATGGTTTACCCGAAACTGATCCTCTCCAACATACCAATTAACCCTTGTTCTTTCTTATGCATACTTCTAACTGTGTTAGTACCAACCAAGTCAACGTTTGATGATTTTTTTTTAAGTTTGACTATATATATATATATATATATATATATATTTTTTTTTGAATTTTGACATAATAATTTTCTCTTTTGTTTTTTGATTTTTTGAAAAATGAGACTGAACCTAAAGGTTGCCTACATATCTTGTTGAAATGAGAATCAGGTCAAACGTAGTTCAGGAAGAATAAAAAGAAAATATTTTCAGATTTTCATTTCATTTTTTTTTGGATTTTTGAATTTTAATCAATTTTTATTATTTGGTTTTTGATAAAGAGAATTGAATGTAAAATGGGCTTTGTAGTTACCGTTTCGAAGCGATATCGGATCATTTGAATGTTAGACGTGCTTTGTGGTTACCGTTCCGAAGCGATATCAAAGCATTAAAAGTTAGACGGGCTTTGTGGTTACCGTTCCGAAGCGATATCAAAGCATTAAAAGTTAGACGGGCTTTGTGGTTACCGTTCTGAAGCGCGACATCGGAGCATTGAAAGTTAGACGGGCTTTGTGGTTACCGTTCCAAAGTGATATCGGAGCATTTGAATCTCCACGCGATAGGAGTGACTCAAATGTAAATCTCCACATGATGGGAGTAACAGAAATTAAAAATCTCCATGCGATGGGAGTGACAGGAATGAAAAATCTCCACGCGATGGGAGTGACATTAATGAAAAGTCTCCATACGATGAGAGTAACAACAATTAAATATCTCCACATCATGGGAGTGGCAGAAAAGTAAATCTCCACGCAATGGGAGTGACAGGAAAGTAAATCTCCACGCAATGGGAGTGACAGGAAAGTAAATCTCCATGCGATGAGAGTGACAGGAAGGTAAATCTCCACGTGATGGGAGTGACAGGAAAGTAAATCTCCACGCGATGAGAGTATTGGTGTGAGTTTTTTTTTAAAGATGAGATCGAACCCAGTAAGGGTCCTTGATTTTTTCCCTTTTTTTGAGTTTTTGAAAAATAGGGTGAACCCAAGAAGGGTTCTTGATTTTCTTTTTATTTTTTTGGGTTTTTGAAAGATATAAAATCGCACCCACGACAAGTTCTTGATTTTACCTTTTTGATTTATTTTTTGATTTTCTGAAAGATGAGACAAAATCTAAAGGAAGGGTCTTAACTTTCGTTTTTAACATCTTTCTTTTGGAAAGGATTAGACCTATGAAGGAAGGGTCTTGACCTTTTTTTTTTAATTTTTTTTTTTGGAAAAATGAGACTGAACCCGAAGATTGCCTACGTATATCGTTGAGATGAATCAGGTCAAGTGTAATTCAGGAAGATTAGAGATAAAAGAAAGATGTTTTGGATTTTTGACTTTTCCCAAAGAAAGGGNTATATATATATATATATATATATATATATATATATTAGTTTATTTATTTATTTTGACTTTGTTTTAGAAATGATCTTTTCGCAAAGATCTTTGGTCAATTGTAACCCAAGTGGTCAGACTTGACCGACTCGTCCAGCTAAGTACGAGGAAAATCGGACCCATGAAAGGTTGCCTACATATCTTGACACAAGGTCAAGAATCAGGTACGCGTAGTTCGTGAAGGTTGGAGAGTATGAGATGTATGATTCATAAGACTTTTACTCTCATATGTTTTTAGCTTTTTGACAGATTTGAAACAAAGAATATTGACAACACTAAAAATATGTATTAAATGCAAGAGTATAGACAAACTAAGAGCGATGCCAAGTTGTATCCATGATTGGGTGTGTTATCTTTGAAATTGAAGAGTGACTCCATTCAGAGGAGGTGCCCCAAGTGGTGCTTGAAAATTTGCTTCGATTCCCCCTAACTGTTTATGAGACAGTTGTTGTGGTTGTCTCCAATTGACTGCAAGGATATTTTGTTACGACCTTCAAGAAGGCTATAGGAACCTTTTGGAGATCTCCCTAGGTTGTTCACTGGGGCGATTATCTGATCAAGATATAGAAATATTGTCATGACCCAAACCCAAGGGCCTCGATGGGCAACCGGTGCCTTACTCAATCGAGTACCAACATAACATATCTTTCTTATCGTACTATCATTGGTAAATGAGCCGGAAAGGCCGTTATTAGATAACCAGAATAAAACATAAAAGATAGTCAATATAAGACGGCCCAACATGATATACATACTTATACATGTGACATACATGACTATAAGGCCGACATGATTATTTGTACACTCAAAACATAGGCCGACAAGGCCATATAAGTATCCATATAAATTACATCTGTCTACAAGCCTCTAAGAGTATATAAATATCATAAAGGTAGGGGCAGAGCTCCGCCATACCAATCATTATATGTCCAAATTATACTGACCAAATAGGCAACCCTAGAGCAAGTGGAGTGCACCAACACCTTCCGCTGAGCTGATAGCCTACTAGGAGGACTGTCAACTTATCTATCGGGACCTGCGGGCATGAAACATAGCGTCTTTAGGCAAAAGGG